CCCGCAGTACCACAGATGATCATCACTAACAAAGAGCAAGGAGACGGGAATTAACATTTAAGGTACATCAGTCCTTATTGGCCAGACATAAACAACCACAAGTGCTACGTGACCCGAGGGGGTGCCGTATGAGCGGCCGATGATGGCTTTTAAGCCAGAAATGGTCATGCCATTTATCCTGGCCTTTGTTAGCAATGTTTTCCTGACCTATGTCGTTGAGGTCACATAGTCCCTAAAAGCCTACAGGAAAGGGTTTTAGCAGGAAACAGTCATTTACCTTTTATTAGGCTTCGTTAGCAAGACTACAGATAGAGACTTCGCAAACATGGTCGATGAAAACGGAAATTATGTGCTCGGTAGGTGTACTTGGGGCTGTGTCCTGCTTTCGTGGTTCATATACTTGTCTTGCAGTCTAAGCCTGGCGGTCATGCATGAAAAAATGTACTACTGTTTACCTAACTTGTGAGGAGAGTTCCACTACCCGATGGCTGTAGGAAGCATCATCGTTCTAATTCATATCCAGGACTCTGATCCCATAATCATTCAAAGGTAAGGTGGTTTTAGTAATCCGAAGATGGCACGTGAATAATCTGGTCACTCAGTTGGGGGTCTAATTATCTACCATTAGGTCATAGGCTCATTATCGTGTTGGTCGTGATTATTAATTAATGCGACGGGGACGTTAACGGATCCGGTTGCTGTAAAGCCACCCAACAGGGGGCTATGTTGTGCTGGGCTGAGCCAGAAAGGGCAAATCCAGCCTGCTCTGCCCATTTCGGTATGAATTTTGCATTTTTCTTTTCACTAAATAATTGTACACCCTCCATACTTTTTGGGAGTTTGAAACGCGTGGATAAAAGGTCAGAGAGCAAGAAGGTAAGTCAGCGCTCTAGGAATGTCAAAAAGTCAATTTAGAAAACATCTGTTTTCAGCAAGTTTTCATCAGGCCAGTACATTTGCAGGGATAATGAAAATCGTACAGGTGGACAGGGTTAATAGCTATCCTTTGATTACAATTCGTCGCTTTAATGCCGCCCACATGGCGAGATCTGCGTGCAGAGGTCCATGGGCT